GAGAGAGAGAGAGAGAGAGAGAGAGAGAGAGAGAGAGAGAGAGAGAGAGAGAGAGAGAGAGAGAGAGGGAGGAGGAGGCGATGGCGCGTGGATTGGCCAGTGTGGTGGGCTCAACCGATGAAACGGAGCGGATTCGGGACTACGTTAATTATGTCAAATCTGATTTGTTCCTTCGTCCGTATCAACCTCGCGGATTGGGAAAGTACACAGCAGAGCGTCCGATACGGAACTTGCTGAGTTTCCGTTCCACGGCGGTGAAGATGGTCCTTCGTTCTGCCGACTTCTACACGTTGATGACTTTGCATCTGGTCCTTCTGGCGACCTTTCGTGCGAAGGGGAGGTGCCGGGGTCCCGACGGCGAGGTCTTGCGTCTTGGCAACGGCTTTCCCAAGACCACGTGGCCAAGGATATCCAACGACATGTTTCTGATCTTGGCTCCTCTGCTAGTTTTCGTACTGGTCTTCTACAATAATCAGGCGTACAACAGATTCATGGAACAATTCTTCATCGCCCGACAGATCGAAGGACGTGTCAAGTACCTGACCAGTCGATTGCGCGCCTTCTTCCGTCGGGATCCCTTCCGCGGAGCCGACCATTCGATGCGCGCCATCCTACGAACGCTGGTCGTCGCGCATTACTGTCTCTACTTCCGTCTTCCAAGGTACAGTAAGCAGAAGATAGACGAATGGGGACTAGAGTACCTACGGAAGTGTGGTCTGATCACAGGGAAGGAGAGGGAGGTGCTGCAGGAGAAGACAGGGCCGGAGATCATGGGCGAAGCTCTGGCATTCAGTACGGAGTTGCTGGGGCAACACGTTCGACGAGGCGACATCGACACCGTCACTTACGGCCTCTTCGAGGCGGACATCCATCGGCTTTCCTACTTCGTGATGGTCATCACGGCCTATGCGAACAATCCCGTGCCGTTCGCCTACTACCACTTGGCTAGTCTGCTCACGCTGGGGCACTTGGTGCTGATTAGCTATTCGTTTGTTCTTTACGATAGTCTGTTTACCATAATAGTCTTCGCGTTGCTGTGCTTGACTATTTTAGGACTGCGGGACTTGAGCTGCGCCCTTGCGGATCCATTTGGCGTTGACGATACCGATTTGCCGACGATCTTGCCGACGGCGAAAGCGCACGCGCTCAGCGAGGCCCTGCTCGATCGGGATACCATTTTCGGTCCAGCTGTCATAAAGGAGGTACCGGAAAACGAGTCGCGACCGATCACAGTGGAGGAGTGGGAGGAGGAGGAGGAAAGAGAAAGATATGAGGTCACGCGGCGGCAGAGGGTGAGAGCTGGATCATGGCAAGATCAAGATTTTTCGCGAAGCGGACTACCGGTAGTAAGTCTTCCGTCACTGCGCGCCGAGAGCAGACCGCATTTGACAGTCTGTCGGGGTCTGGAGCGGGATCAAAACAGTGAAGACGTGCATCTGGGTCGGGATCAGGTTCGGGATCGGGTTCGGGACACGTGGCCGGTGAGAGCTCGATCATGGCAGGAGCAAGATTCCCTGCACCTGGACAGTGGGAAGAGTAGGAGACAGCAGGTAGGTCGCCTGGAACGGAATCAAAGTCGGTGTCGGGATCCGGTTCGGGAGCAGCCTCGAGACACGTGGGGGGTGAGAGCTCGATCATGGCACGAGCTAGATTCCCTGCACCTGGACGGTGGGAAGAGTAGGGGAGTGCAGTTAGCAGCCGCCGGTCGCACGGAACGGAGTCGAAGTCGAGACACGCATCTGGATCGGGATCAACCTCGGCTTCAAGCGCGAGACATGCGGAGAGTTCACTCACTCCATCACTATATGTTGCAGACGCCTGACACGTGGAGACAGACGCCACTGCACGTGGAGAGCGCGGAGAGGAAACCGCCGTTGACAGCGGGTCAAAGTCAAAGTCAAAGTCAAAACAGGAATCAGACTTGGGAGGAGGCTCCTCCGGAACAAAAACGTAATAACGACCAGGTTCCTCCGAGGGAACAGGCTCGCGAAGGGGATCGGGATGATCAATGGCGGGATCTGCTCAAGCACTATCGGAATCCGTCGTCATTGCCAGCGCCTCATGTACTCAGTACCTCTTTGTCTTCGGTTGCTTGTCCTTCTGCGTTGCCGCCCCCTTTGCCTTCTCTATCTTTGTCTTCGGTTGCTTGTCCTTCTGGTTTGCCTCCCCCTTTGCCTTCTCTACCCTCTCCCTTTCGTCCTTCACGCTCACTCTCCCTCCCTCCTGCAGGAGCTACCACCATCACAATTGATTAGGAGCGAAACACCGTCACAATTGATTGATTAGGCGGTACTTAAAAGTTTGATCTGGGATCTGCGCCTTTCTTTTTTCTTTTTTTTTTTTTTTACCATTCTCTCTCTCTTGTTCTTTTTCGTTTTCGTTTTTTTTTTTT